AGTCCATGGAACATGGAGATATGCTTGTGGGGTGAAAAAAAGAATACAAAATGGAATGTGAAAAATGTGTATAGAAAGATGTAAATGAAATAGTCTTCAGAATAGAAGGATTAAGGAATTTCTCTACTTATTTTCAAAAGATGTATCCTGTTACATTTAACTCTAGAATTCAAGTAAAAAGCAAGAACACAACACGTTAAGTAAACTGTTTCCACATCATTGTGGCCGCTGCCTATGGAGAAATGCTCTGAGCTGACAGGCTGCTTGGCCTCATTTGCCTTCCTGTCCATCGGCAGCAGGGTTTCCATCTCTGCTTCTGTGGATTGGCATAGTCAGAAGACAGCCACGGGGCACAGTACAGATTAGGATCAATTATCTGCTAGCCAATAAATATTTTAAAGAATAAATCGACAGAAACGGGCAGTTTCCCACTCAAGGAGGATAAATCTGTGGAATTCTGGGGAGAACGTTTACATGACCCTGTCTGGCAGCCAGTTTCACGAGGCAGAGGACTTGGATTTGTTCCATTCTCCTGCCAGGGAAGAGAAGACACAAGGGAACAAGTAAGATCCAGGCGAGGCGAGTCACAGGCCCTGGGGGAGCCTAAGAAGCCCGAGGGATGAGCAGATACTAGGCTGGCAATGAAAAGCTGGCACGGTGGGGCAGGGACAGAGGGGGACAATGAGTACAAAGGCAGAGCCTGGACAGAGGACCAGGACCTCTACGAGTCCACGTGAAATTCTGTGGGCTTTCAAAGTCACCCTGACAAAGTTTTCGAGAGGACTGGAGGACAGAAAATGAGAGATCAGCTGGAAGACTGCTGAAATGTTGAGAAAAGATGAAGCTGCGTCTCAAGGCCTGAGTGGTGGAGATAGAGACAGTGGATTTGAACGGTATGGGGAGAGAGAATCAACAGGACTCAGTAACTAACCAGAAGCAGGAGAGTCAAGGGTGATAGCCAGGATGCTGGCTGTGCATCTGAGTGCGCCAGCAGGACCAATTTTGCCAGGTCAGAAACCAACAAGGACTTGGTATTCGTTCATATTTTAGATTGAAAACTGTGTGCCTCTTTCCCAAGTTACAAGGGGATCCACACTGTTTATATTTACATTTTACGTTGACATAGGCTGAGCTCTAAGTTACATCATCAGAAAGAAATCCCACAGTCTATTCCAGGCCTCCTTAGGTATGACCTTTTATAAATTGCCGGAGCTAGTGTGCAGACAAATCGAGGCTTTTTTGAGTACATACTGACCCCCAGTGTCTAGGTGCAGAAATAAGGATTAAATAAAGACTATAAAATATCAAGACTCCTGGGAGAGTACCTAGAATTTCAGTTACAAATAACATTCCCTGCAATCCAATTCAGAGGGGCTGGGGGCTTCAGAGATAAAAAAACAAAACAAAATTGACTAGCTAACATATGGCTAGCAGCTGCCTAGAGAAAGCTAATGAACATTCTATAGAACAAGTGCCAGAATGGATTAAGTAGCCTTAATCCAAGTGGCCAGTGGATGCATAGCCATGTGATGGTCTTTGTCCTCTGCTCTGAGGTCCAGGTTCAACTACTCCAAAGTCTTCTCACCAAGAGGATAAGTTTTATGCCATTAAACTGACTAATACCTGACTTCCCATCTACATCAACATCACAACAAACGAAGTTTCTTCTCAAGCAGAAGCAGGGCAGGGTGGTTGGCACACATGCCCTTTTCAATAGCTGTGTGGCTAGTATGAATTCGTGAGAAATTCTTGAGTAACTCTCTGCAGCAAAGTAACTCCTTCAGCTGCAGTTGCTTCATCCTGAGAAAGTGGCCATCTAACATCGTGGCCAACCGTTGCTGCAGCTGCTGTCAACCAGCACCTGTTTTCTGCAGACGAAACGAGGTGCTGGCTCTTGGCAGACACACTTATGTCACATTCTGGGCTATGCTGCAGTTTTTAAAAACTTGGCTTTGCACAGCTTTAAGTGAACAGGTTGAACAATGAAACTGTCTTGAAAAAGCAGAGCTTCCTTCACAAAAATAAGATCTTTATTATGAACCTTGTTTTTAAAGTGAGAATAGACTGAAGTGACCAATCACAACCTAAATAAAAGGCAAATCTTTGGTGCCACCAGAATACATTTGACATCTGTTTGGGGCAATGAGAATTATTCATCACAGCCCACTGACCCTCAGCAGTCTTAGTAGAAGCATGAGGGGCAGGAGGAACCATGGCTGCTTTGGACTTACATGGATTCAAGCTGCGCTGAGTAAGATGAAATGTCCTTTATAATTCTTGATTAAAATATCCAACTAAGGTTCCAATGTTAAAGCCCTAATTCCTGATGTGAGGCTACTTGGGAGAGGGGCCTTTGGGGTGGTGCTTAGGTTTAGATGAGGTCATGAGCATAGAGCCCCCCATGAGATCAGAGCCCCCTCTCCCTCTCCACCACCTGAGGACACAGCAAGGAGGCGTGTCTCTGAGGACCAGTAAAGGGGCCCTGAGCAGGCACCAAACTGGCCAGGACCTTCACCTTGGACTTCCCAGTCTCCAGAACTGTGAGAAATAAATGTTTAAACCACCTAGTGTGTGATGTTTTGTTATAGCGGCCTGAGCAGACTAAGACAAATGTTCTACAATCCATTATCATCGTTCTTTCTTCAATCTCAAATCGGTCCAAATTTGACACTTGAAGCCAATTTTTGTGTCCCACCAGTCTCTGGGCATTTTTTTCTTTTCTGACTCAAGTTGTTCCAAGCTCACTTTATACTTTATCTGCCTCAAACCTGGAATCAACGATTTTCCTAAACATCCCTGCTTCTGTAGGGTAGTATTTAGAAAGCAGTATCAAGGGAACTAGATGTGCTCATTATTACCAGATTATTGCTTTTAGGCTCTTTCGGAGAACAGGGCCAGAGCTGGGGTGGACGGTGGGGGATGAAGGAGTGGCTTTGGGAAAAAAGAGAGAGGAAAACACACACACTCATTCAACTATCTCCTGTTCAAAACCAGTAAGACAGGGGTCTTTATCTGTCTTCATTTTCTATCTCCCTTCTCCCATGGTGCATAGCCTGATTTACAATAACATCTACAAATTTGCTCATTTCTTAAACTTATGAAATTGCTCCTGAATTACTTATTAAAAATAGCCTCAGGAACATTTTCACCTTTAAACACCTTAATTTCACATCAGAGTCACCAAATCATCCCACATTGCCCAGCAGAAGTCACATATAACAGACTACCATGCCTCTAGACAGCAGCCAGAGATAACAGTCTGCATACAAGTTGAGAGTCGAATTGGACAACTTAGCAATGGCTGCCATTTGGTTTCTCAAGAGTACCAAAAAGAAAGGACAAAGTTCAGAACAGATTACTGATAGCTCCCATTTTGACTGATCGAAGAGTATTTAAGCTGTTTTTCTTTTCAAAATCTAACCTGATTGGTGTTTGGCCATTTGTTTAAAAATAATCCAATGGGGTGGGAGGAAGAGAAGGAGAAGTGACACATAACAGTGGTCATATGTCAATGAGGTAGCAGGGGGTGATGGGCATATGAGAGTTCTTGGGAAATATTTATGCTCTCTGCTTTTGTGGAAGTGTCAAAGCTTTTTGTGAAAAGATTTTTAAAGTGTATTCCTGTCAAATCAGAGTGGTGTAAGCTTAAATGGTCAGCCCCAACTTTAATAAAAGGCAAATAAGTAATAAGTGGCTTTATTATGTGTACACAGGAAGTGATGGTGACACTCTAGCTTATTTTTTTAAAACTGCCAACGGAACTTACAATTTTTTGGCAGCTTAAGGTCCCAGTGTCTTAAAGGCTATGATTATATAGCTAGATAATTCTCCAATAAGTAAAATCTAAACAGTTGTGGAAAAAGAGTAACTTTAATTCTGCCTATCATTTTGCCAAATAACTTTGTCATCAGAGGTAGATTGAATGATTAAAATATTCTTCTATTTCGGATGTTTCATATTCCCCTTGGGACTCGTGGTTAAAGTCCCTCGTAGTCCAGTATGAAAACCTTTAGGCTACAGCGTAACATGGCATCTGTCACTGCCAGATCTGCTGTGAGGCAACGTATGATTTAATGTAACAACTGGTATTAGACAAACACTTGCAAAATCCAATTATGCGAAACACAACAACAGGAACCATGATGAGGATCTGCAATGTTGAGGCAATTTTGGTGTGTTTCTGAGGAAAAAACAGATGAAAGAAAGGCTTTCCAGGTAAGAAGGAAGCTCAATTTGGAAAAGAGACTTATGACTTATAAAAGCATAAAAATGAATTAAAAATGACACTGCAGATGATGAACCTTCTGTCTAGTAAAGCTGTCTGTTCCCCCAATTTGTCAAAAACAGTAAGGGGCTGGGAAAAAAAAGAACAGTAACTTCATAACAGAAAGGGGAGGCAGTACTTGACCTCTGACTTCTCTTTCCTGGGAGTGGCGAGCTATGACCAGGAGGTTTCTGCTTTTGGCCACCAAGTTAGCCAACTGCTGCCTGCTGGGGTTGGTTTCAACAGTGGGCCACACACTGGCTAAAAATATAAAAAGTGATAAATACCTACCAATTTTTTCCATGACTTTATAACTGACATATATGTTACTTGCTTTGAAATAAGGAAATAGCTTAAAGAAATCATGACTTACATATCCACGGCATCTATAAATATACTGTGGAAAACAGTATCATTAAGATAATAAGCAATCATTCTGTCCATGGCCTACCCTAGCTACCCTATGTTACATACTATGATCTTTTGATTTTTTTTCTCTCAGTTGATGAACAACAAATATATGTGGCAAGTGCAATATGCCCTATTTCCCCTGCCCATGTGGGTAAAATTACTTGTACTGTATATGTTACCTGCCCTCTGACCTGACCTTCATTTACAGAGAATTAGGAGGTCTGTGTGTTTAAATAAGTCTAACTCTTTGAGTGTTACAGGAAGATAGGGGCCAAAGACTAGTGCAGAGGACTTCACCTAATATTTGTCAATTATATGGAGATACTTTGGAACATCACTTTCCATCAGAGAACTTTATTTTTAAACCAACTTTAAGTATCCAAGATTAAAGTTCAGAAACAACAATCACAAAAGAACACAAACAGCTATGATTGCCTGTATGATGCTAATTCTAGAAGCCAAAGAAAAGTCCTACCAAATGTCACACAAAGGAGGTCTCTGGACTACAGACAAAGCAAAGGGCCTTGCTGTTTGTCTTCAGGTTTTTGGAGGAACCCACCTGTGACATTCCCATTCCACAGGTCTCTGCTCTTCACCTATCAAAGCATCCCTTTTCCTAGAGGAAAAGACTAGTAATAAATACTGAAGTAGAGTGTATTACCTAATATACCTTACTATTATCCCAGAAAATTTTAGTAAATATAACAGTGAACTACTTGTTGGGGTAAGTAGTGCTTGTCAATGGTGACTCCGTAAGATTTAGTGAATGAGGAATACCTGAAACTTCACCTCTACTTGTTACTCTCTCATCCCAGAAACTTAAGACCTTGATTAAGCCCCACTGGTTATTTGTTAAGTGACTAATTCAAAAGGGGCTAGCAGGACAGCTAACTCAAAAAGCTTATGACATAAGCGCTCAGGCATCCTAAAGCCTTTATCTGGGCCAACATAAGTTACCTAATTACCTATATAAACTCTACCTCAGGACCTAGCTCTGAAAAAATCAGGAAAAAAAAGAGAGAGACAATGAGATCAGCACCCATAACACACTGCATGGCACTTCTTTTTTGGCTATTCCTGGCCAGCACTTAGGGTAGACTTTATTTTTCAGCTCGTTTCACTTTCCCTTGATCCTCTACTTTCCTAATGGCTGCTTGGACAGCCTCTTGGTCACCCAGGAACTGGTGAGGCCCAGCTGCGTGCAGGTTTTCATCCAGTTCCAGGAGAATGGGGACTCCAGTGGGAAGCGTGATGTTGATAATGTCTTCATCTGAGATACCTGTAGATTAGGAGAGGAAGGGACAAGGCATTAAAGACGGCCCAGGAGGAAGTTCTGCTCAGTTGTCCAGCTGCACATGTACTTAGTTCCGTACTAACTGCAGGCCTGGAGCCATGCCAGGTCCTGGGAGGGATTCCCACTTTAGTTCCTAGAAGCCAAGGACTTCCCAGAAATTTTTTAAAGGCTTAGAAATTTGTATCACATCCAATTGTAGGACAATAGATACCTTTTGGGGAAACCAGTTCCTGGCTTGTTTGCTATCTAAATCTTAAAGGAACAAAAATTATTCTCTCCATGCCTTTATTTCTATTACTTTCTATTAGGTTTTTCACAGGAATCACTTAATCTTGAAAACTCTGAAAGTAAAGCAGGAGGGTTTTCTGTTTTTCTCCTTTTATATGGTGTGCCCAGTCTGTCTAAAATTCATCTCTGAATCTAGTTCAATTGATTAGAATGAGGTTGGTTTTCCAACACTGAGTGAACTTGGAACGTCCTGGACTAAATCCAAAGAGGAACACTTCCTCAGACGCTTGGGAAGCACAATCACAGGGACTTGGGAAAGGATTTGAAGGCATGCCTTGTGAACAGGCTTCATTCTCCTATAGTCCCTTAACATCCCAGTGCTAGGAGGGGACAGGTATGTGTAATGGCCAAGTCACTTTCAACTCCTTTTTAAAGAAGCTGAATTACAGGTAATAGTTCAACTCTGACCAGAAAATCTGGAGTTAGAGCAAGAGTAGTAATAGCAGTGGTAGTGATATATTTTTATCATTATGACTTCTTTTAACAATGAACAGCTGATACATGCTGAGTTCATTCTACATCCATGTACTCTTCTAAACACTTTATATGAATTAACTTTTTAAATCATCACTACCATCCTTCAAGCATATAAGCACTTATTTTTCCATGTAACAAGTTCTGGCACAGAGAAGTTCCATAAACCACTCAAGATCACACAGATAGTAAATGGCAGAGCCTGGATTCAAACCCAGTGTCTATAACTACTGTACAATGTCTCTCAAGTTCCTCTGAGCTCAAAAGGGGCAAAGAGAAGGAAGGAGAAAAGAGATGAAATTAATCAAATTAAAAGGCAACTGAAAACATTCACATTATCTACTTCAAAAACACACCTTTATCACATAGATTTCAAATTCTAACTATATGCTTCTGTGCTATATTAGTAGAAAGGACCGAGGTGGAGCAAGTTCTGGGGAGAGTCTAAGGGTTCTCTTTACTGAGAAGGTGATGATGACAGAGTAAGTTAGTTAATTTTCAATGCACTTTGTTATTTTAATTAACCACTGAGAGACAGCCAAACGTTACACAATCATAGCACTAGATCCCTACTGTTGGAGTGGTTCTTATTAGAATTTCATATCTAGGCCCAGAAGAGCTACCTAAGAACTCTTGCACACAAATTGTACATGCTCAAACAGCTATGAAACAATGGAAGGAATCCTAACTTGGAAGCCAATGTCTTTTCCAAGTACACTGCCCACCTCCTCCTCTGCCGGCATCCCCTCAATATGCTAACTACCTAACTTTAGGCAAATAACCTCTCTACTACCTCTGTCAACTTTTTAACAAGAAAAACACTCTCCCTTTATCACCATTACAAAAGGTGTTGGGGTAGGAGGAATGGACCTAGAGAGAACATACATTAAAAGTCTAATACAATGAATGTTTCTTCTTTCCCTGCTAGGCATTCTCTTCTAGGAAGAAGATTTAAAGCATAGGCTACTAAAATACTACTTTCCCTTGCCAATTCTCTGTCCCCACACTGCGATCCTACACAAGATTACCATCTGCAACTGAACCTGACAAGAGCACATAATTCCAGACCAGACAGGCATCCATTTGCTGGGAGAACTGCTTGGATTCAAAGAGCCCTCTGGCTCCATTGGGTCAGAACGGTCAGCTGGCTACACAGCAGCTGCCATATGTGTCCTGTAGAGACAGCTGGTGGGCAATTCAACAGCACGTGGTTTAGAGCCAGATGACCACTGAGGCTTTAGAACCCAGTAGGTTCTCACCCAAATGCAGGGGAGCTCTGGAGGTCCCCAGGCCTAACTCACTTAACTAACCAGTAATTGAGGGCCTACTTTGTCTACAGTACTCTAGGGAAGGACATCTGAGGCCGTGGCCAGGACCTTACATCCACTGAACTATTTCTTCATTTGTAAAGTCAAGGAGGATAACATCTTCTGGCACCAAATTCTTTTATCTTACTCTGAATAGTTAAGAAAAGCAGAGGTACTTTAGAGGCATGAGAAAAATGGGGACACTGACTATTTATATTCATTTATCATGCAAGGAATTTTTTATCTGTTCTCACAGTCTGTGAGCATACTGTTCATTGAATTGGAGAGAAAGAGGGATTTTACAGATTTCTCCAATTAATCTAAATTTTCACTGCAAAATCAATTTTTTAGGAGATGACTGTTTAGCAAAAATGACCATGTTTGATTAATGTTTACCAGGAGAAATAAGAACTCTGAGTGTACACATCTATCAACATCTTGGATTCACTGCTTATAGACTGTGTGCCTTTACAATGTCACCAACTATTAGCCTTTATGAAAGTTTTTGGACCTAGGGCTTTATTTGAAAATGACTGAACATTCCACTTTTATTAAACATTGCCCTGAAGGTTCCAGCCAGGGCAACTAGACAAGAAATAAAAGGTATCCAATTAGAAAGGATGAAGCAAAACTATCTCTGTTTTCAGATAACACAATACCACTAAAAATCTGTTAGAACTAATAAATTAATATCCTACAAGGTTGTAGAATACAAGATCAATGCACAAAAATCAATTGCATTTCTATACAGTGGCAAGGAGTAACCTAAAAATGAAATTAAGAAAGCAATTCCATTCACAATAGAATACAAAAAGAATAACGTACATAGGAATAAATTGAACCCAAGAAGTACAAAACTTGTACTCTGAATACTACAGAACACTGTTGAAAGAAATTAAAGAAGACTTAAATATATGGAAAGACATCCCACATTCATGGACTGGAAGATTTAATATTATTAAGATGTCACCATTCCCCAAGTGAACATACAGATTCAACATAATCCCTATCAAAATCTCAGATGACATTTTTGTATAAATTGACAAACTGATCTTAAAATTCATATGGAAATTCACAGCACTAATAATAGTCAAATAACCTTGAAGATGAAGAACAAAGTTGAGAGACTCACATTTAATGATTTTAAAACTTACCATAAAGCTTCAGTTATCATAATAGTGTGGTACTCGCATGTGGTATAAGGTACTTACTTAAGAACAGACATACAGATCAATGGAATAGAAGTGAAAGTTCAAAATAAGCCCTCATATTTTTTAATTGATTTTCAGCAAATATGCTAACATGACTAAATGAAGAAAGAATAATCTTTACAACAAATGGTGCTTGGACAATTGTATATTCAGACACTAAACAATGAGGTAGGACCCACCTCTTATCATATCTAAAAATGAACTCAAATGGAACAAAGTCTTAGATGTAAGAACTAAAACTATAAAACTCGCAGAAGAGCACATAAGAGTAAAATCTTCATTATCTTGAATTAGGCAATGGTTTCTTACATATGACACCATATTACATCTGACACAAAAGTAATAAAAGAAAAAATAAATAAACTGGGAATATAAAATTTCTACATGTTTGGGCTCCAAAGGACACCATCAAGAAAGTGAAAAGACAGCCCACAGAATGGAAGTAAAGCTTTATAATTCAAGTATCTGATAAAGGACTTGTATATAGAGCATACAGATAACTATTATACTTCAGTAATAAAAAGACAAACAACTAAATTTTTAAATGGGTAAGAGATCTGAATGGATACTTCTCCAATAAAGTTGTACAAATGGCCTATAACACTACTCTTCTTACAGGAGTCCCCCTTCTCCTGGAACTGGATGAGAACCTGCGTGCTGTTGGCCCCACCAGTTCCTGGGTGACTAAGAAGCCACCTAAACAGCCATTAAGAAAGTAGAGGTCAAGGAAAAGTGAAATAAGCTGAAAAACAAAGTCTTTCCCAAGCGCGAGCCAGGAATAGCTGCAAAAAGACTACCATGCAGTGTGTCATGCATGCTCATCTCCCTCTCTCTCTCTCTTTTTTCTTGCCCAATTTTTTCAGATATAGACTGCGGGGTAGTTTGTATAGGTAAATAGATAACTTACGTTGGCCCAGATAAAGGCTTTAGCACTTACGTCTTAGTGCTTATGCCTTAACCCTTCCGAGTTTGCTCTCCTGCTAGCCCTGTACACTTTGAATGGGTAAACTGTAAGGTAGATAAATTATATCTCAATAAAGCAGTTAAGAAAATACTAAACAGATCCAGAGAAGTTAAACAAAACTGCTCAAATCACAAACAAGACTGTTAAGGCAGTAAAATTGGTCCTGGTTTTTTAATTCCCAAATCCCAGGACTTCAACTCTGGTCATGTGACTTGTCTATGGTTATTTCTACCATAATATAAGGAGAGAGGAGAATGTTTGCATGCAAGCTCCACCTCTGTGAAGAACTGGGTACTAACTAAACAACAGCACCCAGGGTTCTCATGTTTTCAGAACTGGTAAACGGCATGAGTGGATTTTTCTGATACCCTTAAAATAGCCAACACACTGGGATAATGATGGGCCAGGTTTAGGGGTTGCAGTCAGTGACCTCAGAAAAGAGTTCTAGGTCTTCGGCAAGGGGCCAGAGGCACACATGGGACTCACTTGTTTGACCACGGTCTCAGACGTAACCTCAGATCTAATAGCTCCTCTCTCTAATAGTACCATTCTCAAGCTCATGTCTATGACTTAGATAATAACTCACTTTTGTGTGGGACCAAATCAAAAGCCAACTAAACAAAAGACACCAAAGCGATGTAATATTTCACCTACAAAGGGAGAGCTCAACAAAAATAGAAATGTTTCCAATAAATAAAGTCAACATTCCACTTTAATGACCACTCAAGCCATTCATACAGC